GATCAATCAGTTATATGGCAGCTATAGGATATAGTCGGCCGATCCGGGCCGTTCCGACTTATATACTGCGTGCAAAGGAAAGAAGGGTGTGTGCAAAGTTTCAAGACGATAGCTTTAAAACTGAGAGACTAGTTCGCGTAGAAACAGACAGACGGACAGACAGACGGACAGACGGACAGACGGACAGACGGACAGACGGACATGCTCATATCAACTCAGGAGGTGATCCTGATCAAGAATATATATACTTTATAGGGTCGGAGATGTCTCCTTCACTGCGTTGCACACTTTTGACCAAAATTATAATACCCTCTGCAAGGGTATAAAAAGACCATAATCTATTAGAATCTAATTTTAAATAAAATACAAATTTTCTTCAAGTGTAAAAATCGTTTGGCTTACATCCAAAAAGTTCAAAAGTTTCCCATGCACTGTCATCGCATTAAAGTCGTCTATCGATGGGTGGGTGGGCCAACGAATGGGTGGTGACTGGGTGGTGGTAGCGCTGGCATGGAATGCGAAAAAGTTGGTTGAAAAAGAACAAAAAAAAAAAAAAAAAAAGTTAGAAAGCCAGCAAAAAACAGCTGATCCAATTCGCGATTCTCCCTGTCTCTGTCTTGCTTGGCTCTCTATTTGCCCTCTCTCTTTATCTATTGAGAGAGCGCTATGTATGTATCTCTGTCTAACAGGTTCGCTCGTGTCTGTTCTTGTCTCGAGTACAAATTAAATTTCCAGCGAATTTAATGGCCCACAGACAGACAGAATGGAGGAAGGATGAATGTGGAAAGAGGGAGGGCAATAGAGGGAGACACAAATACCAAAGGACGTTGTAAAGTTTGGCAGCTATCTCGCTTTGACATTAGTAAAAAGTTTAGCGCCTAAAAGCAGGCAACAAAAATTTTGTTATGCCAAAAGGAGCAAGGTGGAATTGCGAAAAACATAGAAAGAGAGAGGGAGAGAGAGGAAGAGAGAGTGAGCAAGGGGATCCCCCAAGTATAATAATACAACTCCACCCTCCACCCTCCGCCCGCTTCCTGTTTTTGTGTTATTTTGTTGTTTTTGTAGGAACCCGGGGAATTCATAACAAGGCTGTCATCGTCCTTCCCTCCCCACTATTCCCCCCATCTACCCCGTTGGGGGGATAAAAATCGATATCTACAAAATTTGTGTTTTTGTTTTTGTTTCGTTCTCCTCTGTGTGCGCTCTTCGTCAGTTTGCATTTGTGAGCTGCAGTTGTCGGGGGCGTGGTAATTGGGCGGGACAGGTGGGGAGGCGGAAAGTGGGTGGCGGTCGACAAAGCAGACAGCTATTTTGTGTGTCGTGCACAGAGAGAAAATTAGGAGATATAAATTAAAGATATGAGAAATTCGATTATTAACGATTATTTCGATTTTGGGATATTATGCTTCCATTTTCTATCAAAAAAGTATCATCTCTAGGTTATAATGGCATTTTATAAATTTCAATAGGGATTATTTCGATTTTAGTATTTTTTATCGAAAAAGTATCATCTCTAGAAAAGTTTAAAAAAAAAAATATTAAACAGTTATAAAAGTTTTACGATTACTTCGATTAAAGCTATTTCGATTAGTTTTTATCGAAAAAAGTATCATCTCTAGCTAGAGTTTCTTGGTTAGAATTTCTTAAAACTCCAAAATATATCGGTATTTGTTGATTATTTCGATTAGAATCGGTTCCCTACTTAAGAAATTTTATCTCTAGGTTATCTATACTTCCATCTCTAGGTTATTAAATGCAATTTTTGAAGTTACAACTATTTTTTCTTTGTGTATTTTTAAAGTTCTTAATATTTGTTTTTGCAAAGCCAGCACTGGAGAAGGAATTCGCTTTCTTTTATTTTTCGCATTCCTCCTGGTCCTCTGCTTTATGCAATTTTATCTTTTGTGCTTTTCATAATTTTGTTTTTTGTGGGTTTTTCTTTTATTTCTTTGGGGGGAGGAGGGGGGTGCTCTTACAAGCCCAACATCATGCACATAATACATACATGTGTGTACATATAGTGCGATATATAGGATATATGTTATACGATATATACAACATCAGACACAGACACAAGGCGTGGCAGTTCTGGGGGGTGAGGGGGGTGGGTGATGTGGGCGGAAGAGGAGGAGGATGCTGGATGCATGCATACATGTTTAAAAACATATGTATGTGGAGGATACATATGGGAGTATCTGTGGGGGTGTTACTGCGCACATAACGGTACATGTGGCCATTGCTTCGCTCCCTCTCGTTTTCTCCCATCCGAACCAAATCATCCATCCTTGCCCCATCTCGCTCTCACTTATGTACATGGGATACTCTCTCTCGTTCTGGCTGCAGCATGTTTTCAAACTTTTGCAACGAACCGAAAAGCAAACAACAAACAACAAACAACGAAAACAAAAACAAAAACAAGAGCATGAGTATGAGAAGAAGAAGAAGAAAAAAAATGTATTCAGGTTGCAAGTTTTAATTATATTTTTGTTGCGTGTTTTTAAGCTTTAAAGCCGCAGAATTAATGAACAGAAGAAGATGAAGAAGAAGCAGCCGGAGCTGGGCAAAAAATAGAAGAAAATTCTAAAAGGGAATTAAACGAACGAAGAAGAGGAAGAAGAAGAAATGGCCAAAGAAGAAAGCTTATTAGCAGCAAAGCTTTTTCTTTTTGGCTTGATTTTAGTTTTGCTTTGTTCTACTTCTACTTTTTCTACTCCCCCCACTCCTTGTTCTTTTATTTCTTCTCTCTGTGTATCCTTCTTTTTTTTGCGGATAAAAAGTTGCGGTTTTCCTCTGTGGGAGTGGCCATTAAAAGAAAAACCCTGAAAACTTGCAGAATTTTCTAGTTTTTTTATTCTTTTTTTTTTAATATTCCTAACTGTTTACTAATTTTTTACTTTCTTTTGTGTCTTTTCAGGTAAAAACAACTTAAAATAATGGAAAATGATGGAAAAGAAAAACTTAAAGTAAAGTAAAGTCAGAAAAGAGAAGTATCACTTTTTGGGGAATAAGGACCTTAAAGAGAACAGGGAATTATTTATCAAAAATGATTAATGACTTTGTTTCGCCATTGTCTAAGGTTCTATCTTTTATTTTTTTTATTTTTTTTTTGCAAAAACCCCAACAAAAGCCTTGAATTTGGATTCTTTTTCAAAAGAATCGGTTTTTTTTTTTGGGGTCTTGAAGCAACGTGAAGTTTGGCAACGTTGCAAATATTGTCTTTAATATTTAATGGATTAATAAACGAGACCGTCGTCTCTCTGGGTGTTTACATTTGTGTGTTTGTGACGTTGATGCATGAGGTCGCGACGCTGACGTCGACGCCGGCTGTGACGCAGCAGAGGGTCAAACGCGTCGCACGTTAATAATCCAACCATCAAACCTGTTTGTTGCAATTGCAATTTTGCAATTTTCCCAAAAAAAAATTTAAACTTAATTTTAACAAAATTTGAACTAAAATATTTATACAAAAAAAATATTTAAAACCATCAAAAGCATATATTTTTCAGACAAAGCTCATAAATATATGTGGCCTAATTATTAATTTCACCCAAAGAATTAATTAACTTTAAATTTAACACCAAAAACTTAAAATAATTAAAGAAATGCTGAGCCATAGTCAATATTTGAGCCACCACTGTTTGAAACAGTCTGCCGACGTCGGTTGCGGTTCGGTGCACACAAGTGTGACGTCAAACACGCTGGACAGCACATCCAACGACGTCGAACATGTTAGAACACGCTCCAATCGAATCACGAAAACGAGTGAGAGAAATAGCCTTTTTTGTATTTGCCTCTCGCTTGCACTTGCAACATGTTTGATGGTTCGATGCCGGCCGGGGTTTGTGTCCCCAATAAAAACAACAAAACGTAAATAAAAAATAAACCAAAACACAAAAAAAAAATAAAAATAATAAAGTCATCCAAATTCAAGCCACTAAATCAACCGTTAGATTCGCGCTTATTATAGTATTATATACTATAGAGTATCTGGGGAATATGTGGAACACCGCGGCAGAGCAGCTTGGGGTCTAGTCTCTAGTATATGTATTATGCAGATAATATGCTAAATTATATGACGCGATCATCCGATTATCTTAGATTGGCCCACGAAACGGGGTCAAGCCTTGGTGGGTTCTATTTATTTTGCTCAGTGTGTTGAGGGAGAGGCAGGAGGTACATATCTACTAGATACTATCTAGTATGGGGAGGCATATAGGATGGGGTGTTACTAATACTAGATGGTTTGGTCTTTGGGGGTATCTTTATGGGGTTTTTAGTTAGTAGTTGGCTTAAACTATGATTAAATGGCTCATGATTAAATAGTTTATGTCTTTTATGAAGTTTTTAAACCTTTTTTTTAAGTTTTAATATTTGTTTTTGTTTTTAAAGATTATACAAATTTTTAAGGTTAATTTTTGGTATTATATTACGGTATATAAAATACGATGTTTAGGTAGAAATCTGAATAATAGCTTGGAGAGAGCATTTAAATATATTTATACGATATCGTATTTACGTTATCGATATTATTACAATATTTTTCGATATTACCGATATTACGATATCGATATCAAAGATATAGGGTATTTAAAATACCATATTTAGGTAGAAATTTAAATAATAGCTTGGAAAGCGTTAAATATTATAGATATATATTTGTAGATATGGTATGGTATGATATATGATAGAAATATATATGATATAGATCATATAGATCATAAATGATATGAAAATTGAGTAAAAAAAACTACTAACTTGAGGAAAATTAAAAATTAGTAACTTAAAAAATGCATATAGATTTAAAGATCTTCAGTTTAAAGATCTATAAAGACCTATACAAGCTATAGCCTTTATAAGAACCCTAAAGTCCTATTAAATCTTAGGTTTTTTAAATCAAGAAGCTTTACTTTCCATATTTTTTTAAATATTAAATATATTAAATCTATAAATATTAAAGTAAAGGATTTAAAATTAATGCATTTGCTTACCTTCCTCCTCAGGTCGTACAGGACCATGGATCAATATGCCAAGATGGGGCACATGCAACAACTACAGCAGCAGCAGCAGCAGCAACAACAGCAACAGCCACCGCCACCCACGTCCCAGATGCAGCAGTTGCATCATCACCTCCACCAGCAGCAACAGCAGCAGCAGCAGCAGTCCTCGCGATCGGCTGCGAGTCCCTTGTCGCCGCCACGTCCGGGAGCACCGCCCGGTGGCGGCATCGGTGGCAGCAGTGGGGGCGGCAGTGGCAACAGCGGCAGCAATAGTAGCAACGCCGGCGGCAACAGCAGCAACAGCAGCGGCAGTGCCGGCGGCAGCAACAGCAGCAGCAGCAGCAACAATGCAGCCGTGGCAGCAGCGGCGGCATCAGCGGCAGCAGCAGCGGCGGGCATCAACAACAGTTATCTGCCGCCGTCGCCGCAGCATCACCAGCAGCATCGTTTATTCCAGCAGGCGCCCTACAGTATGCCCACGGCGTCCAGCTACCGTGATCCTTCCTATCCTTCCCGGCTCAGCCAGCTCCAGCAGCAGGCGGCGGCGCAGCAGCAGCAGCAGCAACAACAACAACAGCAGCAGCAGGCGGTGCAGCTGCAGCAACAGGCGGCGGCAGCAGCAGCAGCCGCAGCCGAAGTGGCCCACATGCCGGAGTATCACCGGGGCCTGGCACGGGCGACGGTCCAACAACAGTCGCAGGGCGGCAAGTCCGCCAACGGAAGCAGCAGCGGCAGCGGTCCTCCTAGTGGCAGTTCTGGCGGCCCGGGCAGCGGAGGCGGCAGCGGCGGTGGCGGTGGCAGTGGCGGCGGTGGTGGTGGTGTTCCCCCACCAGGCAGCGGTGTGGTCCAAGTGTCACAATCCGGCGGTGTCCTGGTCATGGAAGCGATGCCCCACTATGCCAGCCAGTCCAACAGCACGTCCTTCCAGCAGCAGCAGCAGCCAGGAGTTTCCGGTAAGGACATCTCTCCTGAAAAAAAAATAAAGAATCCTTTACTAAAGACTGGTGTTCTCTTGCAGGACCTTCGGGCGGACCATCTGCTGGCGGCAGCATAATGGTGAACAGCATGAGGAGCATCCTGATGCCGCACTCGCAGTACAGCAGCGACCTCCTCTTGAATGCGGTGGCAGTGGCCGCCACCGGTGGCTCCCAGCGCCAGCAGCACCAGCTCCAGCAGCAGCAGCAACAGCATCCGCCCGAGCCCTTTGGCGGTGTCGGCGGTGGCGGACAGCAGCCGTACAAGAAGCAACGACTGAGCGAGACGAACGCCAGCAACATGAATCACCTGCCTCCACACCCGCAACAGCAGCAGCAGCAGCAGCCACAGCAACAGCATCCTGCCCACCAGCAACATCAGCGATCCTCGCCAGCCCAGCAGCAGCAGCAGCAGCAGCAGCTGAACAGCAGCCGGCAGAGTCACAACGATCTGGGCAGACATGTGCAGACCACTCCCCTGGGCATGCAGCTCAAGGTGGAGACCCTGCCCCCGCAGCAGCAGCAACAACATCATCAGCAACACCAGCAGCACCAGCAACAGCAGCAACATGCCGCCGCCCAGCAGGCCCAGAATCGGTCCCAGGCGGCGGTCAGCAGCTTGTCCGGATTACCGGCTGGTTCTGTAACCGTTTCCACGGCGCGATCTTCAGCGGTGGCCACGTCGGCGTCGAATAGTGGCAGCAATGCCTCTGGCGGCAGTAGCAGCGGAGCTGGAGTGGCCAGTACCGAGGCCTACCATCCGCAGGTGAGTTATGGGAGGATGATGTGCCAGCTTGGAAAGTGAACTTGGGGAGGCGATAGAGGAAACTTTTAGGGAATTCCAAGGAAGAACTCGATAGGAGCCTTGAAATGTGGATATTTTCACTGAAACTTCAGATTTCCAAAGATGACTCTGCATTATAATTAGATAAGTGTTGTAAAAGGACTATTTTTTTAATGGTGAGACCATTTGGAAGATTCAAAAATAAGCTTTTGTAGTTTTGGAAAAGCAAAAAAAATATAAAAACGTATACCTTTTTAAGGGAAATGTTAAAAATAAGGATATTCCTCCTTTAAATAGCAATATTTCTTTGATAGTGTTGTATAAAGCTATTGTTTAAATGATGAGACCATTCTAGACCTTAAAACTTGAAACATTATAGCTTTGAATTCTTCAAACTTTGAAGACTCCAATAAGAAACTAATCATTTTAAGGGAAAAGTATAAAAAATAAGAAAGTTTTCACCTCTTTGTAGCAATATTTGTTTGATAGTGTTGTATAAGAGCGATTATTTAAATGATGAGACCATAATAAACCTTCAAACTTCAAATATTATAGCTTTGGAGACTGAAAAAGTACAAGAAAATAATACATTTTAAGGAAAAAGTATAAAAAATAGAAAGATTTGACCTCTTTGTAGCAATATTTGTTTGATAGTGTTGTAAAATAGCATTTGTTACAAGAAACATACAAGCATTTGTTGTTACAAGAGCTGTAGACACTTTAAAATCACAAGAAACTAGCACATTTTTAGGGAAATCTATAAAAATATGAATTCTTCACCTCCAAATAGCAATATTTTTTCTACAGTGTTGTAAAATAATGTATGATTAATTAATGAGGTCATTTTAAATAGTAAAAATTAAGTATTTTAGCTATGAATTATCACAAAAATATAAGATACTAATAATGTCTGAGGAAAATGTTAAACAAAGAGAGATCTTTCACCTATATATAGCAATTTTTTGGTTATAGTGTTGTATAATGATAATAGTTTTAAATATCACAGCTTTGGTCACCTTAAAATACAAGAAACTAGGTCTTTTTGAGGGGAATGTTTAGGAAATAGAAATATTTTACCTCCAAATAACAATACTTTTCTATAGTGTTGTATAACAGTTACTATTTCAATTATAACAGCTTTGGTCACATTAGAAATACGAAAAGCTAGGTTATAGATAAAAAAAGATAGGTTATAATAGAGAAAAATTAAACATTTAAAAAGTTAAATTAAAGAATATATAGTCTTTCCAAATACTAATGCATTATAATCATATCAATGTACCACTGCTCTAAAAAGAACCTTTTTTTTTTTAAACTAGTGTTAGGTAATGTAGCTTAGACAACACTTAGGCTCACAAATCACTTTCCAACCCTGGCTCATGCCAAACTTTTCCTCCTTGAGTCCTTTTGAAGCCAGAGTGCAAGATGAAGGACTCGCCAAGTAAGAAACTGCGAATAACTACCAATTATTGGGATTCCCTACAGGTGGAGGCCATATCACCGACCCTGCCCAGCGACAGTGCCATCGAGGAGCGCGGCCGGAGCAGCGCCAAGGAGGATCTACTGATGCAGATCCAGAAAGTGGACAACGAGATCAAGACGGTGGAAACGGCCAAGGAGACGCTCCGGAAAAAGGAGAAGACACTGATGGAGGAGGCATCGCTGGCCAAGCAGCAGAAGACCGCCAAGGAGCTGGCCGAGGCGAGTGCCGCCAATGCCAATCCCGATGAGGAGGCGGTCGAGATTGTGTGGCGCAACCAGATGCTGGCCAAGAAGATCTATGCCGCCAATCGGAAGACGGCTAATGCTCAACATTCCATGCTCTCCCGTTTCCTATCCATATCTCTAATGGGCAACAACAACAACAACAATAGCAGCAGCAATAACAACAACAACAATAATAATACTACTAGCAACAACAACAACAACAACATTAATATGCACAACAACAATCTAAAGCCATGGCTACCGCTATATAACCAGCCCCTGGACGTGGGCGCCCTCACCGTCCTCATCCAGCAGCACCAGAGTCTGGTGCGCGGCCCCCTGCTGCTGCACATCCGGAAGCTGAAGGCGGAGAGGTGGGCACACAACCAGTCCCTGGTGGAGAAGTACGCCAAGGAGCAGGCCGACTGGCAGCGACGGTGCGAACGGGCGGAGGGCAGTGCCAAGCGGAAGGCGCGCGAGGCCAAGAATCGGGAGTTCTTCGAGAAGGTGTTCACGGAGCTGAGGAAACAGCGCGAGGACAAGGAGCGCTTCAATCGGGTGGGATCGCGCATCAAGTCCGAGGCCGATCTCGAGGAGATCATGGACGGTCTGCAGGAGCAGGCGCTGGAGGACAAGAAGATGCGCTCGTATGCCGTGATACCGCCACTGATGCACGATGCCCGCCAGCGGCGATGTGCCTACCACAACGAGAACGGGAGGATCGAGGATATGCTGGCGGTGCACCAGCAACGGAAGGCCCTGAACATGTGGACGGCCGGCGAGAAGGAGACGTTCAAGGAGAAGTATCTGCAGCATCCGAAGAACTTTGGAGCGATTGCGGCCAGTCTGGATAGGAAGTCGCCGCAGGATTGCGTCCGCTACTACTACCTCAGCAAGAAGACGGAGAACTACAAGCAGTTGCTCCGCAAGTCCCGCCAGCGCACCCGCAGCTCCCGCAATCCCGCCAAGGCCCAGGCTGTCCAGCCCCAGTGCATCATCGATTCGATGACCACCGGCGTCATGACCCGGCTGCAGCGGGAGCAGCAGCAGAAGAGCGGTGGCCGCTCCTCGGCGGTGGGCGAACGCGAGCGGGCTGAACGGGCGGCGGAACGGGAACGGGTCGCCGAAAAGGCGGCAGCGGACGCGGCCAAGGCGGCGGAAAGTGCCGCCGAGAAGGCCAGCGCCGCGAGCAAGGCGGTGGAGGTGACAGCAGCCGGCGAACGGGTCGCCAAGGCAGCCGCAGCAGCAGCGGCGGCAGCAGCGCAAGTGGCATCTGGTGGCAGTGCCAGCTCGGCCTCGACCACCGCCACCCCGGCCACCGGATCAACCGACAAGACCGAAGCGGACAAGGCGGGAGCGGGTGCCGGAGCAGCATCCTCCTCGCCGGCCACGGCAGCCGCCACAACCTCAGAGATCTCAGCCGGCAGCGGGGATTCGTCAAAGGCTCAGAAACCGGACGAGGAAGCGGGCGGAGCCGCCACAGGAACGGCGGCAGCTAGTGAAGCATCCACCGGCAAAGGGGACACCACCAGCATGGCCGAGACCGCATCCGCCAAGGGCGTGGCCAAGGAGCTCGAAGCCAATGATGCGCTGGCCAAGAAGACCCATCCCGAGAACCACAATGGTGAGTCCTACAACATGCATAGTCCTTGGAAACCAATCTCTAATACATCTCTTATCCTATAGCCACTGGCAGTAGTGCCACACCTGGAGCTGGAGCGGCACAGGGCGTGACCCTGAATGGATTCAAGCCTGGCTACCATCACTCGGTGGTAATGGCCAACGTGAAGGTGCCGCCAGGCAGCGAGGAATCCCAAGGAGCAGCCGCCTCCACGGGCGACAAGATCCTGAAGACGACGGCCGGCCCCATAGCGGGTGAGGGAGCACCCGCCAGTGGTCCCGGAGTGGCCGGAGGAGTACCCACTCTCACCACCGCCACCACGGCGGGCAACTATCTGGGCCAGAAGCTGAAGGCCGCCCAGGTGGAGGGCATGGGAGCTGGCAATGACCTGCATTCGGATGTTAGGTGAGTGCTCCTCAGATGATCCTTTGAATCCTTCATGGAATTCATAAAATTCATCCCATTCCAGTGACTCCAAACGTAAGCGGTTCGAACTGAATCCTGGAGAATCGGGTGCACTGGGCAGTGCCACCAACAATGCCACGGCCGGCCCGGCCACCAACAGCAACAGCCTGAAGGCGAATGTCAAGGATGCGACCAAGTCGTCCTCCTCAGCGTCAGCCACCGCATCCGCCGCCATCACCGCCCCGGTATCCGCATCCTCGGCCGCGTCCTCGGCTCCTATGCTGCTGATTAGCGCCGCCTCCATCATGTCCACCGGCGTGATGACATCCGGAACGAACACGGCCACGGCCACGGCGATATCGATGCCCCTGCTGGCGGACGGAGGTGCCGGCAGCCTCAACTCCATGGCCAACTCCTCGGAGGCTCTAGCCCTGGATGGAAAAGGTAAGTGTTTGATTTCTATTATGGTTCTTGGGGGAAAGTCCTTCAAAGGTCCTTTTAGGAGAGCTACTGATCTTTGGGGGCTTATGGAGATCTAGGGTTATCTATTATGATTCGATCTTTGGGAGGATTACCTTCAAAAACTGGGCCACCCCTTGCAGAATCCACGATTTCCATATATGTCACCTTCCGATGTCCATATCTCTGGCAGTTTCTATCCGATTCTTGAAAGGAATACCTCAATCGATTCGTAAATCGATTCCCCACCAATCTGCATCAAAACCTGGGTGCAAAATATTTTTTCGATTTTTTTCCACATTTTCCTGGGCCACCCCTTGTAAAATCCACGATTTCCATATAGGACACCTTCCGATGTCCATATCTCTGGCGATTTCTATCCGATTCTTGAAAGGAATACCTCAATCGATTCGTAGATCGATTCTCCATCAATCTACATCAAAACCTGGGTGCAAAAAATTTTTTGGATTTTTTTCCACTTTTTCCTGGGCCACCCCTTGTAAAATCCCCGATTTCCCTATAGGACACCTTCCGATGTCCATATCTCTGGCGAGTTCTATCCGATTCTTGAAAGGAATACCTCAATCGATTTGTGGATCGATTCTCCATCAATCTGCATCACAAGATTCAAAATCCTAGGATACAAAATATTTTTTCGAATTTTTTTTCGAAACCCAAACCCCTTAGCTTTGATTCAAGCTCTGAAAGAAAGCTCTTTTTTTTTTAGATTATAACAAGACCTTAGAGCTTGCAAGCTTGGGCCTTGGGGCTTCAGGGCTTGAAAGCTCCCTGGAAAGTTCATTTTTTTCGTCCTTTACGAAACTGAAATGTCCTGCGGTAAATGTATTGGCTTTTCCCTCTACCGTTGGCTTATAAAAAATGCAACTCCCCGGCATTGGCAGTGCCACTGTGTGCACTGCAGTCTGCAATTTGCAATTCGCAGATGTCCTTTGTGATGTCCTGTTTAATGAAATGCCAGTAGCCCCTGAAGCCAATCAGGAGAGCTGGCGGTCCTTTTTATCTCGAAGCTTCACTTCTTGGCGGTCGCCACAGTGTTTGCCTTGATTCTCCGCCAGCGTTTTCGATTAATATTTCATCAAAACATGAAGGAAAAAAAAAAAGAAGGAGACTCGATGGCCTCAAGTCAAGTCGTTGGAGTTGCGGATACCGGGGGGGGGGGCCCAAAAAGAGTTGACAGAACCACCCGACCATCTGACTGGTCTTGCGGTTTTGTTTGCACCACCGCCCACTAGGCGGAAAACCACCCACTTTTCCAGCCATTTCCAACCATTCAACCACCCTTCGTCATCATCTCGGCCTTGTTCGGCTGTTGGCTGTCATCTCCCTGGCGAGTTAATTAAACTCAATTAAATTAATTTTTTTTTTCTTTGTCTGTAAACGTCTTTTTTATTATGCAAGTGATTTAATTTAATTATTAAATTGCGCCAAGGATTGTTTACTTTCGTTTCCTTCCATCCTGGCTTTCAATCGCATTTCAATTCCATAAGGAAAGGTGGACCATTACATCACAAGAATTACACAAAAAGATTAATCCGATTAATCAATGACTTTTGTTTAGGTTTTAATATTTTATTTATTTTATAGCGAGGAAAAAAAAAAACATTTAGCTTGCTTTTGGGTGTGATTCTGTGTTTAGAAATATAAATTCGTAGATTTCGTTGCTTTGATTTGCGCAATTTTCTTACTTCTGGGTTGAATCGTCTTCTGTTGTTCTTCTTCGGTTTTTATGGCGACCGTGACAGTCTTACTTAAGGGCTTGCTCCTCTTCTCTGATGATCTTCTCTGGTTTTCCTGGCGACCGTGACTTGCTAGCTCACTTTAGGCTTCAGGATGCTGTTTTTATGGCGACCGTGACAGCTTTGTTGATCTTCTTTAGTTTTCATGGCGACCGTGACAGTCTTACTTACTTAAGGGCTTGCTCCTCTTCCCTGATGATCTTCTCTGGTTTTCCTGCCGACCGTGACTTGCTAGCTCACTTTAGGCTTTAGGATGCTGTTTTAAAGTTTTTATGGCGACCGTGACAGCTTTGTTGATCTTTTGTAGTTTTCATGGCGACCGTGACATCGTAGCCCACTTTAATCTTGATGTTGCTGCTGCTGTTGATCTTCTCCCGTTTCCATGGCGACCGTGACACTCGCAGCTGTTTGTTCCTTCTTGGAATGGCTGTTGTTGCTGCCGTGACTGGAGTTGCTGCTGTTGGTGTTGCTAGTGGCTGTTGATGCTGCTGCCGCTGCCGCCGCTTCGATTTCATCGGCATGACACATTTTGCGATGCTTGTGGACGAAATAGTAGCTGGGAAACTTGCTGCCGCACGTTTTGCAAGGATAGTACTGGACATTCATGTCCAAGGGACGCACCTCCCTCCTTAGCAAGGCCCCTCCACCACCACCAGCACCAGCACCACCCACTGAGCCTCCGGTTGGATTGTTGTTGGCAGCGGTGCCCGGGACACTAATGCCAGTGCCAGCCGCTCCACCCGATGCTGTTATTGAATTGCCTTCCAATTCCAGAGGTTCTGTCACCGCCAGGAGCAACTTTTTATCCGTTGTTGTGGTGGCAGCCGTGGTCAGGCTCAATGGATTCAGATGCCGTTTGGCATGCTTCTGGTAGCAGTACTGGGATTTAAAAGTGTGCTTGCAATAGACGCACACGTACAGCTCCTGGTGACTGGCGGCGGCCGAGGAGGCGGAGGAGGAGTTGGTGGACGTCGAGGAGGAGCTACCAGTTGATGTTGCATTCGAGTTGGCTTTCTGTTGTTGTCGGCTTGGGGTTGTTGTTGTGGTGGTGGTGTTGCTGATGGTGGTGGTAGTGGTGGCAGTGGCACTGCCAGCATCTCCACTGTTCTCGCTCTCCTCCAGCTGCTGCTGGCTCATCTGCCTCTGCTGGCTACTTATGGCCCTGGCCATTTGCTGATGAAACGAATAGCTGACACTCTGCTGGCTGCGATGTTGCTCCAAGCCAGTGCCACTCCCAGAGCCGGCGCCATGGCCAGGTACTCCTCCGTTCAGGTCCTCGGGCTTGTGGCCGTAGGCGGTGTTTAGAATCCGACGAAACCGCACCGGTCCATCGCAGCTGGCCACATCGATGATGAACTTCGAGGAGGAGCTCGAGGTCGTGCCGGTGCTTCCCATTTCCAGTTGGGCCGCCGGCACTGGAGCCCTGGCCACCTGTAGGCCATTCGAGGGCTTTCTGTTGCGGCTGGAGGAGCCCTTGCTCCGGGACTTGTCCTTTTTGTTGGTCGACGGCACCTTTTGGGGCTTTGGTGGGGCTGCTATGATGACCACCGGGGGTGGCGGGGCGGCCGGACTCGGCGGCTTCACATCCAGGCGCTCGATGTTGAGACTGCCGGCACTGCTCCCGGCCAAGGAGCTCACCACCGAGACATTGCAGTCCATGTCCACGTCCGGCTCCGGTTCGGCCTCGTTGTCCGTCACCGTGTTGCTGTCGATGAAGACCTCCACATCCTCGTCCTTGTCCTCGTCCTCCTCCGCGTCGTGCATGTAGTGGCCGAGGGATAGCGGCTCCTCCTGCTGCAGAGTGGCGCCCGGAGCTCCTCCAAAGGGGCACAGGGCCGTGGGATTCGGTGGCGGTGGTGGAGGATGCGGTGGCGGTGGCACAGCAGCAGCCGCCTGTGGCAGGGGCAGGAAACCGTAGTTGGGCAGAGTGGCCTTGCTGGGAATCGGACGGATGACCTTGGCGTTGCTGGGTGCGGGGGCCACAGGGCAGAGCTGGGCGGCCGGGGGATTGCCATTCAGATAGCCCTCGGTCTGGGCACGAGCCAGAAATGAGCTGTAATATTTTTAATTTTAATTTTTTAAATTAGTTTCTTAAATATTAAAAAAAAAGGTAGAACAATTTTTTGGAAAGAAACCCACCGACAGATCTCCAAGGCCCGGGGCATGTGCAGGACATGGGTGGCCAGCAGGACTGCAAAGATGTTGTCGACGGTCAGGTCGAGGTAGCCCGTGTACATGTACGTCAGGAGCGGAGCAAACTGATCCGCCGTAACATTGCTCAGATAGAGCAACAGTTCCCCCGTGGGCGTGGTCGTGGTGGTCGAATTGGCGTTGGCCGCCACCACAGCTGCCTCGTCCAATCGAATGGCGGATCTCAGGTATCCACTATGCATGCCCAGCACCAGAGAATGGGCCACGAAACGAACACTACTGCCGGGGGCAGGACCCACTTCCAGGATAACATCCGGTGGGGAACTCATCACCAAAGCAGAGGCACCTCCCGAGGCAGCTCCTCCGGCTGCTGCTGTTGCTGCTGCTATAGTGGAGCGACTGGAGGAACTGCTGCTGCTACTGCTGCCAGTTAGCCAATTAGTGAACATGCTTCTAGTGGCAAGTGGCAAGTGGCACGTGGCACCAAAATAACAACAACAAATAACAGAAAAAAAATAGACAACAACAAGAGTTGTAGTATTCCTGGATGCGTGATTTTGACGAAAAGTGAAGCGAACTCGGATCCCGAATCTCTGGACATATGTCCGCCGCGAACTCGGCTGTTGAACTGACGGCCGATGGCTTCACGTCTCCGGTATTTATACTCCCCGGCCGGAAAGCCAAACGCCGTGCCAGCACCACCACCACCCGCACCACTACCACCGCCACTGCCATCCAACAGTAACATCATCAGAAAGGACCTCGTTGTCCTTCGGCTTTCAGTCGAAAGGGATTCGCTGCAGGTCGTTGGGGGAGATGAGAATCTAGCCTTTTTGTAGCCAAAAAGGAAGCTATAAAAAATTAAAAAATTGAGGGAAAAATAATAGAACATTTTTTTTAAGGTTTTGGGAAAGAAAAAATAATTTTTAAAATCTAAAAACATTTATTGTTAATGGAATAAAGTATATATTATAGAATTCTACTTATTAGCATACATTTCGATGCTTTAATCTATGATAACTGAAGGTAACTTTAGAAAAATCAAAGATTTATCGAAAAAATCGAGAATCTTGGAAGGTTATTAAAAAAAACTTCTATTAACCTAAAAGGGGACTAGTTTCTTAAAGAAATTTTTAACTTATTAGAAGAATATCGAAAATTATTCGAAAGCAGCCGAAAGCCTTAGTAGCTATGGCTGCAACGCCCCCCCCTGTAGCTTTAGTTTTAACTTTAAGCTAACAGAATGTAAATAAATAAATAATATTCGAAAGTAATTTATAGTATCTCGAAAATATTTGAATATTTATATTGTATATATTTATATTATATATTATACTCATTCTATGGTTCTACTTAGAAGTTAGTGAAATGTTACTAGAAAATAATTGAAGATTTATCGAGAAAATTAAATAGTAATGCAAATGATATCAGGATACTCTTTAAAAATATATATATTCTCCGAAAACCACAAATTTGTCGATAAAAAGCCATATCTTAGTAGAAAAAATCCAAAGTTACATTAAAATAATGGAAATGTTATCGATAAAATGGAATATTAATCGAAAATGGTGTCAGGTTACTCTGAGAACTTAATGAGGCCAGAATTTATGGACAAGGAAATCGATTGTTAATAGAATAAATTCAAAGTTATCTAAAAGTAATCGAAAGTCATCGGAAAGATAGCATTAATTAATAGGCAATAATTTTTGAAGTGAATTTTTAATATATGTATGTATTAATATTTAATATATAGTTTAAATAACCCTGCTGTTCTATACAAATTCTGCTATGAATTCTTCTTCTAATCCCAATAATCCTGCCATTTTATCCTTGGCCTTTTTCAAGCTAAAAACCCCAACACTGACCATAAAGTCCTTTGCTTTTTTTATTGCTTTTTTGGGGTATGTTTAATTGGTTTGCATTTCTGTGGTTTTTTTTTTTTTGTGATTTTGATGCGGTTAAATTTTGTTGTTGTTGTAGGTTTTTGGATCCTTTTTTTTTTTTTTTAGAGAGAGATTAACAAATATTTAAGATGCGAGCAAAAAAGTGTTGCCTATTTTTGAGGGCCCTTTTGCCTTTTGACCCAAAATGCAGTTTCGCGGTTCTTTTGAGGCAACTGTCTCTCACCCCCTCACCCCTCGCACCTCTCTCTTGCACTCACTTATCTCCTGCATGTGTCATTTGGGCGCTTAACAACTCTCTCTATGCAGGTGTGTGTGTGTGTGAGGCAGAGTGTGTGTGTGTGTGTGTGTGTTACCACCCGAAAATGTTGCCTCAATCGACTTAATTGATTTGTGGGCATAACCAGCACATATTTACACATACAGACATGCATATGTGCGTTCATGTTGATTTACTATGTGTGTGTGAGTGTATTTTACCTTATCTACCACTGTATGTGTGTGTGTGTGTGAGAGTCCTTCTTGTGGTCCTGCAGTTCGAATTCTCAATCAGCTATTAGCGTTTACCCAGAAATACCCTGGAATACTGAAAGGATCTTAAAGGATCTATCATTTTTGGGTTTTTAAAAGATTCTAAGATGAATTTTGTTTAAAAATCGATAAATATCGATAAATCTAGAGATGGTAATCAAATAGTTATGAAGGTTATTAAATAATATTATTATTTAAAGATTTATTATCTTTGATTTTATGGAATAAACTATATATTTCTTTTCGATATATATTTCTTTGCAAAACTATCGATTAATACAGAGTATCTAGAGCTCCGAACTTGTCTTTGGTCTCCTTTTTTCCTGCACTATTTTTCTAAGATTTCCATCAGCATACAAACCTAGTGGCTTTCCTCCCCCCCCTTTTTTTTTTGATGTGGCTTATTTGGTCATTTGGTTGGCTTTTAATTACCGTTACCGTTACCGTTGCTGATCGGTTTATTTGAGCAACCACACACCACCCCCTCGAACCGCCTCCCACCCGGAAATACTCCGAAAATACATAGATTATTTCCTATTTTTTTTTTTGGTTGCTTCCAGGAGGTGGAAAGTACAAGATTTTGGCTTGCCGATATGGCAATTGGTCAGTTTGTTGGCTTTTTATTATGTCCTTTTTTTATTGATAGGCTAATTTAATTAAGTCGCTTTTTATGCAGGGAGGACCTGCCTTGCATGCCATGCCATCTCTTTCGATTCGATTTAACTTCAATCAAGCGTTAACAATTTTAATTAAATTATTTCGAAATGTAATTATAAATGTGCGTCATGCATAAATTGTGTTATTAATTTATTTACCCACCCACTGACACAACAATTGCAATTACAACCAGAGACCAGCCAGTCTACTGGCCTGCCATGGACTCCTCCATGGCTGTTTCTGCTTCTGTTTCTGTTTCTGGCCGAGGCCAACTTTTTGAATAAATAATCACAACGTAGGCAAAAAATAAATTTCATAAATTGGCATTCAGCAGCGAGGAGAGTAAGCGAGTGAGAGGGCAGCACCAGTCGCATAAAAAAATATCAAAAAAAAAAACGAAAGGATAATAAAAAAAAAGGATAACAGTCGACGTTGACGTCGTCAATCTGTCAGATTTTAAATTGTGGCATTAATCCAGCGTAGTCGGTGTATTTTTTCAATACTACTGTTATCTTTTAAATTTATCGTTTATCGATATAAACTTTGATTTTGTAGTTAGGGATGAACTAAAATGTTTGACTATCGAAATAATCGAAAATGTCCTTGTTTTTCAGGCGAAACTTTTGAATATTTTTGCTATTTTTTGAAGTTTATCGTTTATCGATATAATATTTTCATACTTTCATCTTGTAGCTGGTATTTTAGCCTATCGAAATAATCGTTATATCGTATTTTTACTATTTTTTATTAATTTTTTAATGCCTTCTTTTCAATAACTTCAAAGATTTTGAAGTTTATCGTTTATCGTTTTAAGCTCTCATCTTGTAGCTGTTTAGGGATGAACCTTTTTTCATTTCTGCCTATCGAAATAATCGTTAAATCGTACGATTACTATTTTTTTTATTGCTCTCTCTCTCTCTCTCTGTGTTGCAAGTGGAACTGTGTCACTTTCAGTCGCCATGCAATTCAATTCAATTAATGAAACGGTGAAAAAGAAGCGTAAAGATGCCTCCATCTCTGGCCTCTTTCCCGTTATCCATCTCTCGCTCTATCTCTCTCTCTCTCTCTGTGTGTGTGGTGCCCCCTTGTCACTTTGCTCTCTTTGTGTGGGTTACACTTTGTGCTGATCTTTGCAGTAAGTTGGCAAATTGCCTGACAACCGGAAAACCAAATCGAAACAGCAACACTGCACTGAAAAAATATCGAAATATATTGCAGGTTATCGATTAATTATCGAATATAAAAGTTTTTTGAAAATTAAAGTTTAAAGTTGTTTAAGTTTTAGTTTTTATTTTTTCTAAAAAAACCAAGTATTTGATTTTTGTTCTCTTACTTTTTTTCTGTTTCTGTATTGCACACATACTCACCTGTCAACTGGCTTACACACACACACACACACACACATACGTAGTCTGGGTTTTGGCCATGTTATGTTGACAAGCAACTTGTGTTGTATGTTGCTGCTGTTGCTGCTCCATCTTCCATCCCTCGGCAACTGCAGCTTATCCCAGTTGGATTTCATTGTTTGCATACACTCCTCTCCCCCTTGCCTTTCTTCAGGGGGGGAGGGGATGGTGCTGGTATGCAGGACGAGTCAAAAGGGACAAACCTTTTATGACAATTAAAACATAATTGACGGTCAACATTAATAAACCAAACGCACACCGAAAAACAACAGTCGGAAAAAAGACAACAGAAACAGGCAGCAGAAAGCAAAAAGCAAAAAAGCCAAAGGATAACACAGCAGACAGGATGCAGGGTACAGGATATACACTGGGTACAGAATGTACAGGTTGCAGTTCAAGAAAAAAAAGATTAAAAAAAGGGGGTATTTTTCGAAAAAGAAATAAATCGAAATAATCGACTTCGATTAAAGAAAGAAAATATCGAACTTATAGCCTGAACATGGGTCTTTTTAAAAGTTTTTATACTTAATATTTTTAACAATATATTAACTATTATTTCCATACTTAAATATAATCAAATTAAACGGTTCTTTCTCAAAAAAATATTAATCGATAATTTATCGATAAAAAGAAATCATAACCTTAAAAGACTTTCAACAACATTTTTCAAAATAATTATCAATTTTTTTCCTCTGCAAACTTGATTTTGAAAAAAATGGAGAAAGTAAGAAAGAGATGGGCAAAAAATGGAGTGAAAGAGAGAGGTGGGAAAGAGAGGGGGGGATGAACAATCTGCGTTTTGCAATTGAACTTTTGGCAAAAGGGTGCGATGAAACGAAACGGAAGCTATAACGCACTAATCCCTGAAACCTTTCCCCCCCCCCAACACCCCCGCTTGGGGAGTTAGAGGAGCGTATGTCCTGCGTCCTCCCACCCACCCCCACCCCCTCTATTCTCGCACACAAATCAACAGCCATTTTGTGTTAGTTAAAAATTCTTTTTGTGTGTGTGCCGCAACAACAATCCACAAAAAAAAAAAAAAAAAGGAAAAACGCCAA